AGAATGTCATATTAAGAATAAACTACATCTTTTTGTCTGTATTCCTAGTTAATCTAAGTACATTTACAATTTTAGAAAAAACTAGTATAAACTTAATGTTCTTACTCAAATTATCTGAGTTTTCTGTAAATAATTTTCAAATCTTTTCTTCCTCTCGTCTGCTTTTAATTATATTGTTTACTAATTATTAATTAATTCAGTTCCGGTTTATCCATTGGGCGCTTGGGCCCGGACAAGCTGGACTTAGCCAGATTTTATGGTAATAAATTTCAATCCACCAGTGCCAAGGGGGTGGGGCCGTAGATCTTTTGCGCACAGGGCCCGAAATGAGCTTAAACCGGCCCTGTTTTAATCCATTGAGTTATTATATTTTATTTTAATTTCGGAGTGAATTGGTAAGCCATCAGTGAAGGATACGTCTTTCACCGGTACTAACTCAATCGAACTTTTAAACAGGTTTTAACCTATTGAATCAATTTGCTTCTATTTTTTTTATCGTAGATGCAAAGATTATTTCGTGCAAAATCATAGAAGGTAATATTTCTATTACTTGGGGATTAATACGATATGTGTTTGATAATATTTTAAGCTTTTGTACGTTTGAGAAACTATATTCAATATGTATTTTCAGTATTTCAATATAAAATTTACACGTAAGGGAAAATATTGTCAAGTAATGTCAATAGTTAAAGTCAAAACTACCATTCTTTGAAATGCTTGATAACCTTTTTTTTTTTTTTTTTTTTTTTGTTGTTGCTTTAATGCGTTTTCGAAATTTGCTCGTATGCACAATTGGCTTATAGTTTTTGGTCTACTTTTTTGCAACTAAGTAGTAATTGTTTTGAGTGTTGCATAAACTGCGGGAGGATATCTGTGTGAAAACTAAATGCAAGCAAAAGTGATTTTTTCTGTTATTTATTCATTCAGTGGATAGTTCTAGGATTCAAAGATGAGACACTCATGAAAAAAATATTTTTATTTAAGTGAAATAACTTACAAACTCTAAATTTGAGAGGAAGGACAAAAACAATCTAGATAGGAGGAAAATAAGACATATGCACTCTTTTTTTCCCTACCTTCTAAATGTCTCTCACTTTTAGTTAATATAAGTTACCACGACTAAAGTATAAACCGGAATTCAGATCTGTAAAATCCTAACTAAAGCAGCAGCTACTGTAATAGTAAGGACGATAATATCTCGTGCACAGAGCATAAAAATTTTAAAACTTCTTATCTCTTCCTTTAACTGTATCTGTGAAGAAATTATATAAAAAGACTGGAAACTTCAGTTTACTTCAGTTGTCAGCATAATTTTGCAAACGACTACAGGAAATGACCGTGAGAATTCTTGAAAAAGGAAATTGGTAAAAGAGGGTTAAATCATTGTAAGAGAAGCAATAAAAATGAAATGAAATTTTAAGAAGCGAAAGATCAAATTTGATCATCATAGAAAAAGGTCATTTACAAATAACATGATGCAATCGAAAACGTTTTTATGTCAGAAGATATAACCAACAGTCCCTAAGGGAAATTCTTTAAAAAAAATTCGATATTAGAATTATATACATACAAAATGAGCATGCATACAACACTAGAAGCATCATTTCACATCGTTACACTGTGTGTTGGCATAATGAACTTCTGGAAATGAACGTATGGATTTACAAAAGTAATATTGTTGCCGTGGTACCCTTGGCGTTATGGTCACGGCCGGCGTGTCACAGATTCGAATCCTGGTGCAACTGATGACCCACCGTTGTGGGGGAGGGGGACTGATGCAAAATCTGTCGAGTTCAAAGCCCTTCCGTTGGTTAGGTGAAGTAGTTTTTACAGGGGGTATCTACTCAGGTGTCGTCCTCGTCAAATGACTCTTTCAAAATGACGAGTTGCTTTATAGTACAATCAGTGGCACACACAAAAGGGGAGTCCTGGGGGTCCGTCCCCTCCAAAAAGCCCTTGATTTTTTTCCGATTGATTATAATTGTATGAATATAGTACGTAAAATTAATTAAGTATTTGTTTTTAATAGTTAATTTTATTAATTAATGCTAATTATTCATTTATTAATTCGTTTTTTACTGTTTTTTGTTCCCGAAAATCGACAAAATTAAAAGAATATGTTGGACGGCGTATTGAAGCATGGTACGAGAACAGTGGACTTTCGTCCTTGGACACTCCCCCCCCCCCCGTTGAAAAATTCCTGTATGCGCTATGTTAATAAAACTCTCTCACTCTCATGAAAGAAGTAGAAATGATACAACAGAATTAAATCTTTCTGAATAAAAAGAAAGAAAAAATAAAGCCAAACTGTAGACGTCGAAAATCAAGTTCAGGTTTCCTAGAAAAAAAAAATAATTAAACGAGAGGGGTTAAAAAACATCAGAAATATTTCTCACGTAATTTATCATCACATCATGACGCAATCGGAACTTGCTAATTTCCTAACAGAAGACCTAACCAGCTGTTTCAATTCCGGTGATCGAACGCTCGTTTACTAAACCCAATATTACACCTATAATCCCAAATTTTATAACTTCCTAAAAAATCTTTTCCTCTATGCTACTACAAAAGAACAAAATAATATGGAAGAGGGTATCTTCTGTGCAGAGCGAAATGGGTCATTAGAAGCAATTAAAGCATTTAACTGGACCTCTACCTTCTTATTATGTATGATAAGAGAAAGAAATAGTTCCTCTTTGGCTAAAGGCTACTTCGGGGCAATAAGGCTTAACACGGCACTACCTACTCTCTCAAAAAGTTCTATTCCTCCCCTCTTCCACTTGGTACTTGCTCTGTATGATGGGTACGTAGGCATATAGACGCGTGCTTTCCGACACCAGGTGTTCCAGAGACGGTGTCTCAGCTGCCAGGCTTAAGATTTCGGACGTGCCAAGGGTGTTCGATGAAGTTTTTGATCGAAATATCCGAAGGCGCCCGTTAGAGTTGATTTCCATCCGGTTCTAATAAGATTAAGCAGGGATTGCTGAAACAAAAAGAAAGAAAATAACAAGAGGTAATAAAAGGCAAGAGGACATTCTCTTTAACCCGAAACCCTCACCGGTCACGTACTGGGTATTATCAAAGCGTTTAGTAACAATGTAAAAGAGGAAACCACGTGGACGAAAGTTGGCTTTCGATGCTTTTTACAGGATATTTCAACGGCGTATTGAGTTCCATAATTGCCAACGGAAATTCTGTCTATAGATGGTGACGCGATATTTCTGTAATTTATTTGCTTTTTGTTTTTATAAGTGTCGGGGTGGAATCGTATTTTGTTTTTTAAACAGCTCAATGGTCGGGAAATTTTTACGGGTTTAAACTCCCGTCATTGTTACGCAATCTATAGGCATTATTATCTGGAAAATTATTAAAATGCGTAGGCTGTGTTTAACCCTGGCTAGTCATTTTTAAAAAAAAGATAAATGTAAGAGATTGTAGTTGTCAAAAAAAGCAAATAAATTGCAAATTTTTATGTGAAGAAAAGCTTGGAATAATAATAAATTACTCAATCATAGTGACAAATACATTAGTTTTAATGAATAATTAATAAAAGGATAAATAATAAAAAAATGGAATTGTATTATGTTAATATTACACTTGAATTTAACTGCGCTTTTTGGTAAGAGCCTAAATACTAGTTTTTTTAAAAAACGGAAAATTATTGAAGAAAGAGTTAAATATATTCTAAAATATGATTTTTTTAGCAATCATTTATTCTTTCGCAAACTGGAAGATACTTAGTTATTTAAACTTGAATGTTGCTTGCTTCTAGATATTCGAATATTTGTCTTAAGATACTTCATTTTTCATTATTGAAGAAAAAGTTTCAGCCTCTCAAACATTTTATTAAAAAAACACCTTAAAAATGTTGATTAGATAAAAATTTAGGGTAGTTAAAGAGTTTAATTCTAATTTTAAGTTTTGGGAAATAAAACCACCAAATCAAATGCATCAGTTATAAGGGTCTCCTTATCAAACTCCGACTATCTGGCAATCCAGAGATTTTGACTCGAAATCTGCTTTACAGTAGCAGTTGTAGTTATGACACAAAATACCAAGAAATAACTACAAAGACAAATGATCATGTAAGGAATTTATTAAACTAACTATCCATACTCGAGAATTGAGAGAAAGATCAACTAATATTTAAATAATCATAAAATCACTTACCTGAAAATATTTGCAGGCATTCATAACTGTAGCTGCCACAAAATGACAAAAGATCTTGTGTCTACGAAGAAGTTTTAGATCCGATGTTCAGTAAGACTTATCCAATAATTTTCCAGAGTGGAATTTAGTTTCAACGCCACAACCTGAGTTTATACAACAAAGCACTAATTAACTGATGAATCTAATTTTCAAGAGAAGAATCTCATTACAGCTGATTGCAAACTTCTCAATTAAGAACTATGTATTATTTCCCCATTTATCTCTCTCTAACATTTTTATAGTTTAGAACAAATCTGAATAATCATTTGCCACTGTTATGAAGTACTAGTTAATACCATAGCGACTAAAAATTTTCACGTAATGCAATAAAAAATTGACTCAAATAAGTAACCATCTTTAATAAGTTTTTCTAGTGTGCTAGTGTAATATGGAGAAATGGAGTGAAAAATGGATACATGTACTAGAAAATATACGCGAATGAGGTTTTATCTTGGAAGTCAACCCTTGCCAGTTGGCAGTAGTTAAAACAAGTAATATATAAAAAAAATTAAGTCAATTATTTCTTAGGTCCAAACAAAGATAAATTTTATTTTTGTTACTTTTTATTAAATCATTACAATTAATATAAATATACGTATATATATGTATGACACAGAATCACTATATTAAGTGACAAAATAGAAAGCGATTTTCCTTGCAAATTTCCATTTTTCTTTCTATAGGGGATGTTGAACTATTATTATTGTTTGTTTGTTTAATTTTATTCATAAATCAAATTTAATTATTCCAGTAAAATATAGTAAAAAAATCCCTTTCTCAGAAATTAGGCCTTTTTTAGATGGGATTTGAACCCATGACATTTGGATTAGAAGTCCAACGCTCTATCCATTACGCTACAGAGGCACAACGAGCTATTTTCCTTTTTATATAGGGTGTTGAACTATTATTTTCTTATTACTATTTATTCATTAAATAAATTTGATTATAGAATTAACATTTGAAAAACTGTATTAACACAAGTTTAAAAAATATATTTGAACTTGACTGGATGAATAAAAAGTATTTTTAGCAAGATATATATATATAATAATATATAGGTGGGAGAGTGTGAATTAATAGTAGGAATTGAAATAATAATGAAGTCTGTGACCAATGAACTTCATGTAGCTTCTAGAGGGCCATGTTATTTCATACCAATCTTATCTCAAAACTTCTTAGAGGCTGACAAATTCTCAGATTTTTTTGCATTATTATAAGAATATTGAATTTTCTAATCAACGAAAGTCTTACTAAGATTCGAGGAGTTTGATGAAATTGATATTTTTAATACCAAAATACAATTTATTTTAAATGATATTAAATTATACATAATTTATACCTAACAATATTGCAATATTATTCAAATTCCAATATAAATTAAGTAATTATTGGTATTCTTCAAAAAGTTATTTTTTATAAGCTACTGATGTGTGTGTATGTGTTCAGTATTTAACTTTTATACTTTACTTTATTTTTGTTTTAACATTTTAACTTAAAAAAGTAATGTTATATATATATATATATATATATTATTTATAATGACAATCTACTTACGCAAAAAAAAGATAAATTACAAATAAATATAAGAAAATTAAATTTTTATATGTTCACATAGATTGTTCGAGCTGAAATTTCAATACATTGCGTTTGAGAATTACATCCTGTACTTAGAAAAATAATAATAATATACTTTTGTTAATTAAAAATGTCTTAAACATTAAAACAAAATAAAATAAAATTCCCTTTGGATTTTAATTGAGAAACTAATTTTCCTTAGCATATTAATAATTCGATGTCTGAGAATTCCTTTCACAAAATATGAAACTTCAACAACTCCTCCAATTATACATTCTTGAGCTTCACAAACTAATTTGAAAACTTTCCAATTTGATCTTACTTGATTAATGATTTACTGAGCCATAGCATCATAACTATGTATAATGATGTCTCTTGCTCCTATTTATAGTGTTAATTCAATTTTTTCTCGGGATCCTCCCCTGCCAATCAGTTTTCAATAACTTTTCGATGAACACATTCGCGTAATTGCCTCTGCTCATTAATTTAGCTCAGAAAAAATGTCAACTTAAATTGCCCACGTTCGACATCTTGTATAAAAATCTTATATCTATAATTTAACATCTTGAATACCGTCTCAGCAATTACAGACCTGGCAAACACTGTCTCCGTCTGAAATTGCTCTTCATACTTTTTACTTAATTTTCTGTAATTTGAGTTTTATTGCAAAATTAATTTGTTCCGCTTGGACGGAATAAAAATAAACAACTGGGGGATTGAGGATTAATTTAAGGTGATTAACTACGTTTGAAACAGTAATTTGAAAAAAACCGCTTAAACGGATGACTATTTTAATTAGTGTCAGTTGAATTAGAATGCGCACATACAATTGTCTTAAGAATATTATTATAAGGAAAATCTGTTTAAGGCGGTTCACCCACGTGACGGCCTGTTTTTTAGCATTCTTGGGGAATTTTTTTTGATGACCAGTAAAAAGATAGAGCCTTAAGTTTTCATCATTTATTTATATGCATTTTAAGAGTATGTATATAAATGTTTAGCCAAAAAAATATCCAATAGAACGTAAGTTATAGCGCTCTGAACACACCCACCTCAAAAAAATGGACGCTCACTTCCTCCGCGATTACGGCTGATTGGCTTATCTGAAATACAACAAATGAATAGCGTTTTAATTTATAAACTTAAGTACCCAGAATGTACTAAACTCAATTAAAAATGTAAAAAATTCGAGTTTTGGTTGACCTCTGAAGAAAAAGTTTCAAATTTCAGGGATTTTTCTTGTTGTATTTTTATTATAAAAAATAGAAATATTTTGAATTTTGAAATGATCGTAGTCCATTTGGTGCGTATATGTGTGATGAGTCTACCCTATAAATTTGAAATCAGTCGGTCTAACCGTTCTTGAGATAGGATGGAGGAAAGTTTGAAAAACACAGTTTTGGAGAAAAATGCGTTTAAAAAGTTTCGAGTCCGATTAAAACAATGAAAATCTTAACTTACCCTCAATTGGCGATTCCTGGTGGCAAAGACTAAAACAAGTTCGACGAAATATTCAATAACCATATATATTTCCTTTTAAATCTCTACAAACTTATATGAACGTATATTTGCATAGAAGGGTCAATGGTATCAAGCCGACTGTACACAATAGGCCAAGCTTTTGATTGCCAACTCAGCCTACTAACACTTGCTTCTTTATAACGACTTCAAATTAAAAAAAAAAATCACTTTACCATCGTATTCTAGACATGTTAAAAAAGCAATTTATGGAAATTTTTATTTTTTATTTTTGAACCCAACACACACACATGGGTGAATCTCCTTAAACCGAATTATCACCCAACACCCTTCCTTTTGTACTGTAAAATTCGCTTAGCGTGAACATTCTTAAGATGAAAAGATTTCTCATCTAGGAATGAACGAAATACGGAAAACACCAGTCGCATGGAGGTGATATTTAAGAGGAGTATTAAACGAGAGGTGGTTTTCACATGTTTCGTAGGAAGGGGGATAATTTGGCTTTAAAATACCCTCGGAATAGCCTGTAACACGAGCCAATTTTGTTTATCTACGGTACTTTCACACTCTCTAACTCTACAAACGCCACACAAAACATCTAAAGTTAGGAACACCATGAAAAGTATGCACAACTATTTAGATGCATATTCAAACTGTGAAATGAATAAAAAATAGACGACATCAAACAATTTGATTCTAAAAAAGACACAATACAGAGAAAAATCAGATTATTTTCCCCAGAGTTAATAAATGTTTTGTTTTTTTAAAAAAACTGAAAACTTTTGTATTAGATTCCATTCAGTTTTTGTGAATCTTATTTTTTAATTGATTTTTATTAAATACATGCATATATACTTATCTGTGTAAATAAAATATACTCTAATAAACTTAACTTTTTGTGAAATATGTTTTTCTCTCCAATACCCTTCAACACGGACAAATATTTCAGTTCCCTCATTTTCGAGGTAAGCGATTTTCTCTGTAGTTTAAAGCGATTTAGAAAGAAGTCATCCCGAATGGCGAGTTTTACATCTCCTCGTTTTATTGATAGCGGAACCCACCCAATCTTTGTGAATGAGCGACGGTGTCATCTGTTATCAACTTGGGAATGAGCGATTCGATATGCAGAGAAGAATTTACAAAAATTAAGTTTCATTCAAATTATCTATGCAGATGAGGTCTCATGCATCATCGGACGTCAAGTGGACGACGTAGGCGCAAATTGCCTGGGCTTACGGGCAGCTCTGGTGGGAACGCAGCTTCTGTCTGACGAGGCAGTCGTATCACTTTTTTACAATTCAAAAGCCTATCAAAAGAAAGAGAGAATTTTAATTTATGCTTCTCCCTTTTAGTTTTGTTTTGCTTTTGCGTGTATGTTGTTTTCGTGCTTAAGTTGAAAACAGTGTTAAACACTTTCTCTGATAAAAAATAAAATGTGTGGTTGGGGTTATTTATGAGCTCTGTTAAAAGATTCGTTTTTGCATGCTAAAATAGCGACAATACTCCAAAGCAGCGTTGAATACTTTTCTTGAGAAAAATAAAGCGAAAAAAAGTAAAATTACTTTTAAGTAACCAATGAAATTTAAATAAAAAGTATGTGAATTCTCTTTTATTAGCTGACAGCTAATAGAAAAATCTTATTCGCTTCTCCGTTTGAATGAATAGTTATGCACTGTCCTGTTGTTGTTGTTACTTATCTCCTTGTCTAGCTTCTGCTACACGAGATCTATGAGTTTATTCACCCTCAAAAAGTCATAAACTACCATAGGAAGACCTGGCAAGTCGTCGTAGGACAAACCCAGGCATCCAAGAATATGAGTCGGGGAAGCCTGCTCAATGGTACATTTTGGACAAATCGGATGGGTTTTATGGCCATTCTGGAAGGTAAGGCTTCTTAAATGTCCACTGAGAAATCTGGAAATTGCCGTCTGTCGCGATTCATATCAAGGGATCTTCCAGGGGAGGTAGCTCGATACCAAATATGAACCGGGGGGACGAGCCATATCAAGTCTTTTGATCAATATGTTTTCTAGCAGAGTACAGCCCAAGAAAAGTCAGGCAATTAGATGTAGCCAGAGCCTCTCTGGCACCCTCCTTCGCCAAGGCATCCGCCTCCTTATTACCCTAAATATCTACATGCGAGGGGATCTCTTGAAAGTGCACACGACAAGACGATGAGACTTGTTTTAATTTATTACGAATAGAAATTCCAGTTTTGTCACCAACGCTACTTCAGTTTGACAAATGTTGGATGGCACTTCGACTATCAGACAGAATCCAGATGGACTTAGGGTCTAAGGAAGACAGGATATAACTTAGTCCCTCACCGATAGCGACGAGTTCACTTTTAAAAACTGAACCAAAATTAGTCCTGTGTATATATTATAATAAATTATATTATGCACCAGAGAAACGATATAAACTATCTCAACCTAGTTCTCCCAAAAATATAGAGGGGGCACCATAGATTAGTGGTTATAGTCAAGGATTCGTCACCAATACATTACGAGCTCTAGCCACACTGCCGCTGAACACCCACCTAGTAGGCCTCCCGTTGGTGTGGTGCGAAAGTTTGGAAATAAGAAGCAAGCTCAGGTGTCACTTGGCCACGATTAAAAATTACGCGGTCCAACACTAGAAGCTCTCGGGTTGCTTTGTAGTACGACATTAATAACTACACTATATGAAAATTTTTCATTTTTTTTTTATTTTTTGAATCGCATATCAGAATTAATACTTGATGTATAACTTGTAGCAGGCATTATCCAGACTCGAACTTAAATCATGTTGCCACTGGAAAGGCACCA